ATTCCAATGTTCGCACCCATGTATTATTTACTGGGTATTCGTATATGAAGAGCTGTTCAATTTCAACTAAACCTCATGAAATAGTACAGCATAATGAATTAGAACTTGCAAAATACTAATTTGCAAACATTTGTACCTCTGCTTTATCAGGGGATGGAATTTCCCTTCAACTACTATCAGTAGAGTTGATGAATTATGGCGCTGTCACAAAACCAAATTGACGATGACCTATTGTCAAAAATAAAAAATAAATACTTATCTGAAAACGATTAAGATACTACACGAAACCTTCAGCAGTTTTGGTATAAACGTATTCTTTTCGAAGATGAAAAAACTGTGAATATTTGGCAAGCATGTGTTTACTCTTCGGCGTAACTAGGCGACGACGTCGTATAAAACAATCTATGACTCTTCGATCTGATAGAACAACACCTAAAATTACTTTGCAGAATTCAGTAATATATCTAAATCGGTACGCAGAGCAAATAAATTAGTTTAAGTCAGTTGTATTTCGTAAGATTGTAACAGATGATTTGCATTTTCATATTAATACTACTGAATAGAATGTGTTAATGATATTATAGGTGAATTATAATGTCCATATTGCCAAACAAATGTATGTATTGTTTTATTTTACACAAACACGGTTAATATTATACATAAGCCGATTCAGGGGCTAGTTGTTGTGCAATAACCGAGTTTATCGTTGCAACGTACACGCAATATTGTATTTCCGTGTTTCCAAGAAAACAAAACATCACCTAGATGACATGTCTATTTTTATGTTTCGGGAATTTACACGGTGCACACGAAGTATATAATTATCTTGCAAGCAGTTATTCCACAGCAAAAATGGAAGCAACGTCCACACGAATTACAACCGAAGAGTTTGCAAAGAAAATGCTCCACCGAAAAAGTCTTACTCCCTTTTGCTGGAAACTTGATACTAGACCAGAACGACTTACGCGTGTATTGCAATTACTACTGATTGGATCAAAGACGAACCTACTCGCGCTATTCTCTATAACATACAGGGATTTGTTGAATATAAAACAACTAAGTATGTGAGTGAAGCTAATGAAGCATTCAACCAAGCGTTGAAGTTTCATCCAAACAATCTCGTCGCAATGGCAAGTTTAATGTTCATAAACAGGCATTCTAACGCCAGGAAAGCTGCTATAGTTGAACAATTAGCCAAGCTGTCACACAACTACATCAAGAAAGAGAAGAACTCTTTTTAAATCAGGCATTAAAGATCCCATATAACGTAACATATTTGACAGAGCTTGTACTTGTGATGAGTCGACGGTTTAAACAAAACACCTTACCAGGTCATTCGTTTTCTGACAAAGATGCCCTTTGCTATTTCAAAGAGCTGTCAGACCATTTGCTGTACCTTATCAACAACGATGATGATGAAAACTTTGCATCTCATTATTCAGTACTTGGCGAAGTGTTATGCTACTCACAGGCATATGGTAACTATGGTAAACTATGGAGAGATACGTTCTACCATTGCCATCCAGGGAAACCTTTGGAAGAGTGTCTCGCCATGGCTTTAAGATTACCTCCAATGGGCGTATACATATTGGAGAGGGTGGCGCACTGCTACCAGTTCAGTGACAAAAAGGATGAAGCCATTAAACTTTATGAAAGTATTATTGATGAATATCCCTTTAAATCTTCCTTCGCCCATTGTCACATAGGAAAGCTTACACTATTAAACACTAATTTTGAGATAGATAGAAGAAATGTCAACGTTGCAGTAACACTTCAATCGTGCAATTGAAATAAATCCAGTATTCCACAATATGAAGAAGGTCTAAAACATCTGAAGCGGGCAATAGAGCTTACCACTCTTGAACATGACGACAAAGATGCCACTAAGGCCCGATACTACTACTGTATAGCCCTGCTAGACAAGGGCGATTTGAAGAAAGGATATCAAGAAATGGGGGCGATTTTATCGCAATGTAATCAACTGAATGTCCGCTATGATAATTGGTTCGATAGCCACTTCAATAAAATGATTAAAAAATACCCATATAATTCTTTACTCTGCGAGCACAAAGCGCGGGCGCGAATGATAAGTAGGAAATACTGTGAGTGTTGGTGTTGAATGTATCGTGGGCCGTTTTATGGACGAATACCGTCCATGAAGATGAATTTCCGTAAAAGCATGAACAAATAAGGGATTAGATCTCAAATGAATAATTGACAATACTTTTTTCAACACGTACATCGCACAGGTTTGTTAATTTGGCATTAATTTGGTATAGCTATCGACTACTATAATATTGTATTGATTACTGCGTGAGAAATATACTTCACCTTCGTTTTATATAGACATTTGTATGTCGATATGAACTTGTTTTATAAATTAGTTCTCTAGAATGTTGTATGCATGTGAAATTATTAGTGTTAACCACAGTCAATAATTGATGTGTATTGATTTGCCAAGTATTGTAAAGGAATTTCATATGCAAACTATGTCAATCTTAATAATACAATCATTATTGGCATTGAGCCAACATTATTTGCTGTACGCGTCTCGATTTGCGATACCCGACTCATTGATTTGTTTGTGTTGGGCGACGAACATTGTTGACATAGTTACGAACTCTTCACCCTGGCAGACATTGCTAATCATTGATTTACAAGTAGTCGAAAACACATCAAAGGTCCATGTCACTCATTTCAGAAAACACTGACGCAGCGATTTGGGATCGTAGGATGTTACTTAGCAGAATTCGATCATATGTAGCCAATGTACGATGCAAACAGATTGACATATTTAGACAATGTTTGACTATTATCACGCTCAATGTGTGTCTTACGCGAAATTGTACTCCATGATACTAATATCACAGGTGCACTATGAACTATTTTGTGCCGGAGGTCTTGAAATTACCTATCATTATTTGTTCTGATGACGTAACCTATTGAAATCATTTGACCTATTTTAAAATTAAACTTACAAATAATAAATTCACACCTTTGTCGGTTGTTTTCTCATTATTGTTTTTGAGGGATTTGAAATATATGTTATATGTCTGAAATATATTTGGCAATTCTATATAATACTGTACGTGTGTTAAAACGGTGTGCCGAGAACCGTGTTTCATTGTAATCAATATAAGCAGTTATTATGTTACATACAGCCAACTTATATTTAAATGCGCCCTCTCTGGCAATACTACAGATATTGTCTTCAATACAGTGATCAACAAGACAGTGCACTGCATAGTGACTGCCCTCTCACTGTGATCAACAAGACATTGCACGGCACAGTGACTGCCATCTCACTGTGACCAACAAGGCATTGCACTGCATAGTGACTGCCCTCTCACTGTGACCAACAAAACATTGCACTGCATAGTGACTGCCCTCTCACTGTGATCAACAAGACATTGCACTGCATAGTGACTGCCCCCTCACTGTAATCAACAAAACAGCCTCTTTCTGTGATCAACACAATCATAAGACATACATAATTTTAAAATATTTTTGTTCACAGTTTTAATATGCAAATTAACTTTTTTTGAAAATGCTTCATGTCTTATTATACTGCCGCTATCACATAAAAGGACAACAATACCTGTATGTTCAATAGGTCAACAACAGAAGACGCTAATTACCCGAAGACTCTAATTGCTCTAACTGTTCCAACTTGAATAATGGTTTTCAAAATAATACATGTCACCTCTAAAAACAAATTAAACAATCACGCTTATTAACTTTCGTGTGTATATTAAGTTTTTGTTGGTGTAATTTTAACGAACAGTGCCACTACTGACTACAGTTGTAGATACATTGGATGGATAAGTTTGACACATTATAAACACGCGCAATAAAGAGCACAGCGGGTCGCGGATCCACTCCCAGGCACGTGTCTTTCAGTCTCGGATTACAGCAAAAACACGGACGTAATATTGACCACATACTCTATTGGTTGTTTACAATTCGTGTAAAGAGCTTTAATCAACTAAGTACATAATTAACCTGACTCTATATTCACGCCATACCAGTGTAAGATTGAGGATGAATGGCATAAGTACTTAAAGACGCGGTACGCTGCACTTTTTGTCCACGTTTTTAAAATGGACCAATAAATGACGATGTTGACATTTAAGGTAGCGGGACTATTATTTGCATACTTGTTTTCATCTTCTAATTGTGACTAAATGACTACAAATAGACCCGGGAAAGTATATATTTTTAGAATCGCCAGACTTCAGGCTTTTCACAAGTGTATTTTGCATGCCCGTATCTGCATTCCACGACGCGTTACTCAATCAAAGATGAAAAATTACTTTTTCTGTAAAAAAAAATAATTACGCATTTATGCTGGCGATAAGAAGTATTTTTTTCACTTTTCCTAGTTGTTCAATAGTCTGGTAAATTGAATGTGTCTGGTCAGTTTTATTCAAGCAACGCGTTTTAAAAAAATAGTGTGCTGAATTTCAATTACTGTTTTAGTCACATTGCCCCCAACTCAAACCACAACTCGTTGGCAAATAATCGATGAAATAGTTTGTCTGGACACATTCAAGTTCCTCTCATTGTCACCTTAAAGCTGTG